TGCACTTTTTTTTTTTGTTCTTTGTTATTATTTTTTTCTCTTACCTATTTAGAGAGAGAAAAAAAAGGTTAGTGAGAAAGAGGGAGATTGGGAAAGAAGGAGAGAGATGAGGGAATTGAAGAGAGTGTGAGAAGAGTTATGAATAAAAAGAGAAGTGTGACAGTGAGGTGGGGAATTGGAGATGGAAGAAAGTGAATTGGGAGTAAAATTTTACCAGGATTTCATCAAGTTGGAAACTCTAAATTGTAGAAAATGTTAAATTCCATTTCTCCTTCTTTTTGCTTTAAAACTGTGGGTCATATGATTTTTTTTCCTTTATATGCTAGTGGTTTGGGTTCCTTATACAAGGAGCTCACATCGTCTTCACCTCCAGTACCACTGATTCCTTATCCTGCAAGCTACAGTGCGACTCCTTTGCTTCCACAGATCGCAGGTCCCGCCAATGCCATCTCTTGTGAGCTTTTTATCACAATTTTCTTTTTTTTTTTTTGGTGTAAAATGTTGCAAGGATGTGAGTAGGGAAGAGAAGGGGAGAATAGAAGAAGAGAGAATGAGAAGGATGGATCAGAGAGTGAAGAATGGGCTGAGGTCATTGTTTGGTCAAAATTTAATTAGGAATGGGTGCAATAAGTAATTGAAGTAAAATAAGTGTATGATAAGTATAATTTAGAAAGGAGAAAAACGTAAAATTAAAAATCCTTTGTAACGATTTTGTAGAAAAGTGTGAAAAGGGAAAATGAATTTGTTTTTTCAGTGAAATCTTACTATTGCGAACCCACGACTCTCTTCTTGCAGACCAGCGCACAAACCACTCCTAGTGGTTTGATCGGTTCCTTATCCAAGGAGCTCACATCGTCTTCACCTCCAGTACCACTGATTCCTTATCCTGCAAGCTACAGTGCGACTCCTTTGCTTCCACAGATCGCAGGTCCCGCCAATGCCATCTCTTGTGAGCTTTTTATCACAATTTTCTTTTTTTTTTTTTGGTGTAAAATGTTGCAAGGATGTGAGTAGGGAAGAGAAGGGGAGAATAGAAGAAGAGAGAATGAGAAGGATGGATCAGAGAGTGAAGAATGGGCTGAGGTCATTGTTTGGTCAAAATTTAATTAGGAATGGGTGCAATAAGTAATTGAAGTAAAATAAGTGTATGATAAGTATAATTTAGAAAGGAGAAAAAATTAAAAATTCTTTGTAACGATTTTGTAGAAAAGTGTGAAAAGGGAAAATGAATTTGTTTTTTCAGTGAAATCTTACTATTGCGAACCCAAGGAATGGGTGCAATAAGTAATTGAAGTAAAATAAGTGTATGATAAGTATAATTTAGAAAGGAGAAAAAATTAAAAATTCTTTGTAACGATTTTGTAGAAAAGTGTGAAAAGGGAAAATGAATTTGTTTTTTCAGTGAAATCCTACTATTGAGAACCCACGACTCTCTTCTTGCAGACCAGCGCACAAACCACTTCCCCCCCACCCCAAAAGGGGTTACTTGCTGCTAAAAAAACAAAATTATTGTGTTTTTATGGCCTATTCTGAATCCACAATGCCTCGTCTGAGTATTTATTTTTTATATGCATCCATGCCAATGTTAACTAGTAGGGTATCTCTGCATTTATCAAAGTGAAAACTGTCCTCTATGCTAAGGGTAGGTTAACTAACTTGCTTAAAAAATGCTTTAGAAATGTGTATTATTGACAACTTTTATTCTATATAGAGATTTAGATGTAACGATGCATACAACTTTAGCAAAATAATGAGTACTATGACTTGTAATAGGTCCCAAATGACAACTTAATCGCTTTTCAGTGTGCATCATTTGTTTTGATGTATGCAGTGCAAATGTTAAGTCTATATTCCATTCGAGCAATAATTTATCTCACTTGATATCCAATTGTTGACGAAGGATTGATGTGATATAATGACACATGAAATTTGAAGTGCTCTTATGATGACTAGCATATATAACTCAATTCATGCATGTAGGAAGGTTTCTAATTGTAGAAAATTTTCATACATTATCTGTATGTTGGCTCTTAGATGCATTTAGCTGCAAGTTTTATGACCATGATGGATTGTTGTGTTATGTGCATTCTATAGTAAATCAATTTTTTTTGTAAGTAATATTTCGGTGTTTTACATATTCATGATGGACCATCCTTTCAACTCACAATACAAGTGATCTTTACTTGCAAAATTCATCTTTCTCCTGAGTTGCGGCTAGGTTTGCCAGTGGATCATCAAGGCATATGCCACATCCCGCTTCATTGTCGTGCAGATCTTTTGGACAAAGTCATTGTTTGCTACCGATGAGTTAAATGCATCAGTATTTATCAATGCATGGTGGCATTGTAAATAACAACCATACAAACTACGTTATAATCATACTCTATTCCACGACTACCATCACCTTCTTCTGACTCGAAGTTTCACCTGAATCACTATCCATTATTCTGTATGCTTTTATAGTATGATTTATTTGTCCATTGTGTAAGGGATGTGGCACAATAAGTTCTACGTCTCTATTGACGTATGGCAGGAACATGTGCAGTGGTTCAAAGCAGTAAGAACTGTAGCCAATTTGATATTCTAAACTATTGCAACCAACCTCATATGAGTAGATCAACATTGGGGTTGTCTTATAAAGTATAAGAACCGCGTTGAATGTGGTCACATTTTTTAAAAGTAAATGTATCTTTTTAGCATTTAAAAACCCATATACTTCAGTTGGTGGTGTCACAACATTGGAAGGACATTGAGAAGGAGGGCCTTCATCATACTCTTGCCTAGACAGTTCAACTTCCACCTAAACAACCAATGTGTGCGTAGTGACTTCTGCGAGCATGTACTTACAATCCTCATCTTTGGAGACTTTTATGGCAATAAAATTATTGTTATTTTAAAGTGACACACTAAATTGATTCTGTGATCAAGTAGTATGGCACAATGAACATAGAATTCTTATTTTAAATTTATTGAGGGTTGAAACTCAGATGTTTAAAAAGAGCAAATCCATCCACGGGTACATTTCTGGGTAAAACCATTGAAACTTGTAATTAGCGATTGAAATATAGAATCAGATGTGGCATTTGGCTGAAGATTATAGACATTATTCCCCTTTCAAACAAATGTATAAAAAACTGCGTTGAAGATATAACATGTCATAGATTGATGTAAATTACTAAAGATTTAGCATTATTAGTAAACAATCAAAATTGATCAAAATTTTATGATTTAGGGGCCCATCTGCGCTCAAGAATCATAAATATTTAAAAAATGCATTTTTTTAAAAGTGAGTTTATGAAATTGGATGATAATGCGTTTTTATTCATTAAAATCTCTCTTTAAAAATATGATAAGTGAGTTTCAATTTGTATGGCTACTAACTCAAGTTTTGCATTTTTACTTCAAAAATAAGAGAGTGATATTAAAGTTCCTTTATAATGAATCAGAATGCTATTTATACGTATAATAGTAATAATGCAATAAAAATTAATGTGGAAAAAATAACAAGAAATAATATTACTATAGACCAAAGAACTACTTTTACATATAAATTATTTTAATGGAATTCATTTTGTTAAATTTAAATTCCAATGCTTCTAAATAGCTTAAACTTTGTACGTGTTAAGATTCGATTAAAGTTTTGATGATGATTTCCTTATGATGATTCTAATTTTTCTGTATTTATTTTATAAAACCAGTCCTTGTAAGTAACTTAATTTATTGGTTTATTTGACTTAATATCCTTTTTTTATTATTTTAGTAAGTACATAAAAAGTTAAAGGCCTTAAATTCATTCATGGTGAATGCTATGATCCTATGATATTTATTATTAGTGCACTTTGAAGGAAAAAATAAAAGTAAATTATATATGTCTTCGTAAATGAGGCTCGTTTTTCTTTTTCATAATAACAAATTTAAATTACTTCACATGTTAGTGTTTGAAATTACCCGATCTCTTTCTGAATTTTAAATATGTAGGGCTTAGGGTGTGAGGAACTTCTAACCAAAAGGCTTGGATTTATAGAGAGAGAATGAGGAGGGTAATGGGGAGGAGAAGCTCTCTGAAATGCCTTGTGGATTCACGAGTGGCCATGAAAATGCAAAATCATTTTGCATTTTTATAGCATTTTGCCGACCCCACGTAGTGGGATTAAGGCTTTGTTGTTGTTGTTGTTGTTGTATAGCAATGTACGTACACTCAAGGGGTCTAGAAGGTGGGATCTGTGGGTTCATGAGAGTGCATTTTCACCGAAAACATCAAATGGATTTGCATTTTCACAGTTTTTTGCAAAATCATTAAAAACTTTTTTCTTATTTTGTGTTTTGCTGCTTTAAATTCTAATTCTCGTGCATTTTTATAATTAATTACTCATTATACCCTCTCCAAATTAAAATTTAGCCATAGGTATGGGAGAGACATGGGTATAGGATATTGTATTTATTTATTGGGAAATTTTCATACATAGCACCCAATTCTTATGAAGTTATTTATATCATACCCAAACTTTCAGTTTTACACCCCAAGCATCCTAACCTATATATGAAAAGATGGATTGCATTATTTCCACCTTTTCATACATAGGAAAAGGTGCTTTAGGTGTAAAAATCAAAATTTGGGTGGTAGATAAGTAAATGAACAAAAAATGGGAATATGAACTCTCATTCTTTTTTGATCGACCACAGAATTCTTGAATATTAAATGCAGCTGGTTCTCATGCAATTGGAACATACTTCCTCACAATGGGATTTGGCATCAAATTGCTATATAACACTCCATAATGTATAATTGCATATGAACTCCGACTCATAGGACACAATGATTAGAATAGATTAAAAAGTCATTATACAAATTCATCCATCTTGTTCAAAATGCTTGAAAATAGTCCATTTGCCTTGACATATCTTTGTTTTTTCTTTTAATTTTGGTTTTATATTTTCTGTGGTTTTTGTAGTTTCTTTTGTAGGTTTTGCTGAACTTTCTTTGTTTACCTTGCATTCAGGCCATCATTCAGGCTGGCCTGTTGAGGGAAGGTCTCTGTTCAATTCAGGATGAGAGTGCAGGTCAGTTTTGTTAAGAATCATTTTAAGTGTCCTATGTTTGGCACAATGTTTCTTTTGAGATTTGAGTTTTTGGGTTTACAAATGAAGATTTTAGAAAAAAGCACTTTCTAACATGAAGCTGTAATTTGTTCTGTAGCCATCTTGATTCCTATTTCATTAAAATTTGCCCAATTTGTCTCAGTTTATTATTTGTACATTTTTTCATCTATTGCTGCGCTTTGTTTTGTTATGTTTTGTTTTTTTTTTTATATTTTTTATATTTTTAATATTTTTTATTATTTTTTATTTTGAGAAATTTACATACGCACCACACAATTCCTATAAATTTTCATATCTAACTAATATCTAAAGTTCGATATTTACATTTATAACACATTGGTTTCTTATACCTATGCATGAAAATGTATATATCATTTTCAAAGTTGTTTAAAATAGTGGTATTTTTTATGTGATGTTAAATATTTGAGTGTTATGCATATAAAAATGAAAATTTAGGTGTTAGATATGTAACTGCATGAGAATTGTGTGGTATGCATGTATATTCCCTCCACCACCTTTTTTTTTTGTAGGAGGTTGAGTTGGTTGGGGTTTCCAACATTTCTTAGTTTCTTATCATCCTTGTTTCTCCCTTTCATTGAGCATATGAAATAATAATGCATATTAGTATATCAAATCACGTAAATTTCCGACAACATACTTCCAATATGCAGAACATATAGTAATATTTTGTGCAATATGAAGGTTATAATTGATTCATGCTAGCTTTTTTTCTTGAGAAAAAAATGATTGGTATTAGTTTCTACAATTTTTTAAAACTTATTAGAAGTTTTGGAGAGGCCTTTCTCACTTCATCTGTTTCTATCTCTATCTCGTGCTTTTATATTTAGAAAATTAACATACTTAGTACACATTTCTCATTTATTTGCATATCTCACACCTAAACATCCATATTTACATACATAGCACTTTGATGTTTTAAGCCTATATACGAAAAGATATATTTGATATTTAAAGATTCGAGTACTATGCATGTAAATATGAAAGTTTAGGTGTGAGATATGTACATAAAAATTGTGTGCTATATATGTATATGCCTTTTTATTTTTTATTTTGTAATAATTTCAATGCCAATAGTTTTCTCTTATATGTCTTTCCATTGAGAAAATTTGTGCAATTTTATGTGTGAAAATTGGATTAATTTTAATGTTTCTGGAGAAGTCAATTCATTTCATTAGTTTTTTTTTCGCATTTCATGCCTTTATATCTCACCGTTTGATAATAATGTCTATGACAAGTTTTTGATATCGGAGTTAACCCAAACAACAATAGAAAAATCAAATATTATTATTGAATTCAAAATAGGGAATTACAATCTCACAAACGGAAATAGAAATAACAACATACACGACACAACAAGCTCAAGCTGGGGTAGATCTAGGGGTGGTGGAGGTGATCAATGAGGGTTTGGTCCTTCGGAGAGATAACAAAGGGTGTGTGAAGGGATAGAAGGTGTGATGGCGGTGAAGGTGTGTTGGTAACCTCGAGGGGCAGGTGTGAAATTGCAAGAACAACAAGTGCGGTTGCTATTATGGGTTGTAGTAGCAAGAAAGATGGACTCGACAACGGGTAAACGGTTAGGAAGGGCTGTTTTGAGTTGGGCTGCAAGGCAGCAGGATGGCGACAACAAAGGGTAGCAAGCTGGAATGAGAAACAAATTATCTAGGCGACTGGAACAGCAGAAAACAACTGAGAACGACTGTTTCCGGTCGGCTACAACAAGGGAAAATGTCGACAACAATGACGGGGAATGTGGGGGATTGCAGGACAGCAAGAGGACAGGTGTCTGGCATGGCCGCAGCAAGGACATGTGGCTTGAATTGGAAAAATGCATGGAAAATAACATTGTGTGGCTGTTTGGCGGCGGCTGCAATAATGGAGGCTGACCAAGGGTGACGTGGGGATGATGCAAAAGCGATATGGAAGATAATCAACACCTCAGGAATGGGATGTAATCGGACACCACTTGAACCCTCGAATACAACCCTCAAAGGGAGAAAAGAGATGTCTACGACTGTCTCAATTGAAATTCACGCCTAAAATAAACCTAGAACATCATGAACACAACCCTAGGACAACAAGTGAATTAAGAGGACCACTCATCTCCACAACATAAAAAAACTTTAGACCGGTTTGGCCCAATTACGATAACAGGAGCCGCTCCTTATTGTGGGATTTACTGCATCACACGACGATTGCTAGAGCGTGTCCCGTCTCGCATCAGTCTCCAGGGGTTGAGGGAGCTTTGATCTCATCCGTCAAAGCTTGTCTCTTCATAGTATGGCATCACGTAGGCCCAATTGGAGATAACATAAATGACATAATATCTTGATAAGTCAGTCCTGTAAGCGTTGTCATTTCAATGCACATTCTGATAAAATAAGTATCCATCCACTTTTGACACAATTTGAGCTGGAGTTGCATATCGACGTAAATTTTCATAAAGTAATATATAATTTGCCTCTTTCACTCTTACTCAATAGGGTGCATCCGAAAAAGTAGTTTTGTGGGAGGAACTAACTCAGGAATGAAATCTATGACATGTTGGACCACTTTCAGCGGGAACCACTTAGGAGAGCTCTTCTTCTTATTTAGAAGGAATCGAATCCCACCATAGGATGTTCTTTCCCACAAAGCTCCTAAGTCGATTTCCAAAACTTTGATTCATCTCTCCTGCCTGACCATTTGTCGGTAGGTATACTATTGAATTGAATTTAACACTCTAATAACTCCAAATGGTCTTCCATAAGCAACTCAAAATTTTCTCATCTTTGACATGTTGGATCTCTCTTAGTAGGGGTAACTCAGGAGATAGGATATATTTGAAAATTATGAAACTCTCTTTTGTGAAGTTGCTCTATGTCTAGTATTAGCTCCTCAAACTCTTGGTCATTTTGAATATCCAATGTTAATCTTACTGATGCTCCTCTCTAGACCTGTAAAAATGTAGTTCATGACATCACAATCTCATACTATACATGAATATCCAATGTTAGTTGGAGTCGTTATCATGGGGTCAGCTGGGATCACTGATGTCTCTTCCTCGTTTGCTAGAAGTTAAGAAACTTCTTTGAATTTTTTTTTTCTTCTGGATCATTATTTATTTTTTAAATTACTCTTTGATCAGTGAAAGAGTTCATTCTCTTAGTTGTGCAATCCGATTCAATATGTACAAATCTGTGACACTTGAAACACTTATGAATTGGTTATATTTAGGAATGCAGATTTATTCCACATATGCTCTACTCTGAAATAGTATCTCAAGCATGGTCGTTTTGGATGTTCCTCTGAGTATATTCTAGCTGTAAGAACCTGGGTTTTAACTCTGTCTTTAAGATGTGACGGTCACTTCCTGACTAGGATATATTTGGGATGTTGATTAATTTTACATGTTTCACACTCTGAATTAGTGTCTCAATCGTGGTCGGTTTGGATGTTTTTTTAGGTGTACTCTGTGTGTAAGAAGGTGCAAATAAATCTAAATCAATCTAATCGAAAAAAAAAACTTGACCGACAGTCTTCTGGTGAAGTTTTCTCTCCCTTTTTGAAGCTTGGTTATAAATATCTTGTTTGTAATGAACTAGTAGGTCACGACGTTGTATTTCTTGTTTCATCTTACACCAGGTAGTAATTTTATTCTTCTATTTTTGCCGTCTAAAAATCTTTAAGTTCTTTCACCATCGAGATGCACTCTTCTTTAACTTGTTGGAAGCTAGTTTACTATTTTGTCCGGTGCGGCATCTTGATACTCAAAAGACATTTCATGGTCTGAAGACACTTGATGACCTCTTTCGTATCCCAATGACAATCAAAATATGACAATTGTGCATTTACTTCATGATAGCTTCTCAGATATTTCAGGTCAAAACTTCAGAGTAATAGTTCTTCATCCCTATGGTGGATGGGCTTCACTCAATTTCTTCGATCTGGCATGTCACTGCTACGGTTAAATCTTTCGGATTGTCTCGTCTCAGAGGCAATAAGTCTTTGTTGGAGTTGGAGGATTTCCCTCACACCTCTTTGATGATAAGTTCCTGAACATCTTTTTGTGGATTTCTGATAAGTAACATGGTTAGAGTTTAGGGTTGGAGGTGTATAATGGTGTGTAGGGATGATATAGAATGAGAGAAAATTTTTGGGTGTCTAGTTTGAAAAAATAAGCGAGGGGAAAGGTTTTAGGAAGAGATAGACTTGGTATTGGTAGATGCTAGAAACCCTACGATACTAGGGTTAGACTAGCTCTAATGTTGAATGATACCAGATTTAACCCAAACAACAAAAGGAAAAACAGTATTATTGCTGAATTCAAAATAGGAAATACAATCTCACAAATGGAAATAGAAATAGTGACAGACACTACACAACTATAGTGAATCTCAAGGTAGTGGAGGTGATCAGTGAGGATTTGGTCCTTCAGAGAGGTAGCAAAGGGTGGGTGAAGGGCTGAAAGACGTGGAGACAAGAAACGTGGGTTGATAACCGTGAGGGACAAGTGCCAAACTTCAGGAATAACTAGTGTGGTTGCTGTCTTGGGCAGTGTTAGCAGGAAAGAGGGGGTTGGACAGCGGGGAAATGGTTGGAAAGGGTTGTACTATGTTGCGACATCAAGGTAGGAGGATGACGACAACGAAGGAGAGTAATTGTGGCAATGATGCAAGATAAAATGTTAGAACGGATGGCTGAGCAGCTAAAACAACATAAAATGTCTAGGAACGGTTGTTTCTGAGTTGCTACTACAAAGGGGAATGTCATCAACATCGATGGGGAATGCTGCTACAGTGCAGGAAGAGGCGAAAACGAGGATAGGTGGCTAGAATTGAAAAAAAATAGCAATGTGCGACTGTTTGGGGATGGCCGAGAGCGCATGGGGAGGATGTGGAAGGGGTTAGGGAAATAATTACCTCAAGAGCGAGATACAACCGGAGTACCACTCGAACCCTCATAAACAATCTTTAAAGAAAGAAAAACCCTGACGGTTTTCTTAACAGAATCTCATGTCAAAACTAAACATAAAACATCAGGAACTCAAGTATATAACCCTAGGATAATCAGGTGTGGTCCAAGAGGACCGAACTTGTAATAACTCATTTTGAGAAATTAGATAACATTTTTTTTTGACAGACAAAGTACCCCAAAGTTTTCATCTCCCAAAATTTGATCGAATAATTTTATTAAATTCTACTCAAGAAATCAATCAATTTCATATAAAGCGCTACATGTAAATTATGAATGAATTGAGAAATATAAAATATTGAAGTTATAAGGTTAATTAATTGTTTTTAAACCTTAATCCTAATTATTACTTAATCTTGCATGTGCACTATAACCCATTGACCTTACGCCATTTTATTTCCTCGTTTGGTCGAATAGGAGCCCGAGTTTTTAAGTCTTTCCCTTCTCTCGTGAATTTTTGTCCTCTGCCTCTCCTCTCTTGTGACACCCCCTTGCTCCTTCCACTCGCGGCGAGCAAAGCTGCGACCCTTGCTATAGTGCAAGAGCCGCGAGTAGCTGGCAGGTCGAGCGACACAGAGGAAAGCCACAATTCACAATTTAGGGCTCTGGGTCAATTTTCATAAGCATGAAACCCTTTATATCGCCATTCTAAGCTTTCATTTCCTTCCTCACTCTTTGGTTTTGATTTTTGTTGATTGTGTCGAAAGCGTCGAAAGTCTTTTGTGAGCTTCCATAAGGTCGGTAGCTGTCGGCGACACTGATTGCGTGCCGGAAGTGTCAAATGCCTTTGCGAGCTTATAAGGGTTATAATACGATATCAACATAGGAGATGTGTGGTTAGAGGTGATAAAAAGTAAATTTGGCTGCTTCGGAATGACGGATTTGTGTCGAGAAGTCTATTTTGAGGTAAGAATGCTACTTTTTGGGTTTAATTACATTATGAGCTGAAAATGGATAAAATACTGAGATATTTACATATTCTAGGTTGTTTACTTGAGGAGACAAATTCGAGGCAAGTGTATAGAAGTTTGCAGTAGGACATCTCCATAAATTTCAGGTAAAGAATCCTATACTAATTTAAAAAGAATAAATTTCAGGTAAAGAACCCTATACAATTATGATGTGTAGATCGCTAACCATTGTACCAATGTGAGTCGACTGGGAAATTTTGGCCAAAATTTTGTTAGGTTTGTTGGCGATGATCCTCACAGAGATAGAAATGTATGTAAATAATATAAAATAAAAATAAATTTAAGATAAATGCATATAGAAGATTAGTATATGTTCATTTAGAAAAAGGTTATTGATGCGTGCATTATTATAGATTAGATTGTTTATGAAAAATATTAAAAACCAACATGTTATAAGATATATTATAGACTAGCATGCATATTAAATTTTTTTCTTGGATTTACTGCAGATTAGAAGTATGATTATTTTTGAATTATTTTTAGATAATTTATCATGTTACTTTCATATCATCTTTAGGTTTTAAACATTTTAACAAAATGAATAGAAAAGAAACAAATGTGTATAGAAGATGAAACAATAGATAAAAATGTACAAATTTCTACTTGTTTATTATAATTACCTTATTTAGTAGCTTTTTCATGTATTATTTGAATATTAAATTGTTAGTGTTAAAATTATGATTAGAATAACAATGAATTTATTTTCCGCCGTTCGACTGCCCATTCCTGCCTTAGTTAACTCTAGGCCTTAGACCGAGTCATGACAAAAGTGATATCAGAGCAGAGGTTTAGATTAAATTACATGAATCTTAATGAAAGAGTCAATATGACAATCAAATTAAGGAATAAATAATAGAAATTAAAAAATTTAAGTCTAATTAAATTATGGTTTTTTTTTTTTTCAGAATTATGAATGATCTGGAGAAAGATGTTAGAGATGAGAATGTAGAAAAGTTGTACCACTGAATGTCC